ATCAGCTGAGTGCTGAGTCAACGTGCAGTTGATATGTTTATCGATAATGAGTGAAGATCGCCCGGATCACTACCACACTCAACCTTTTGAGGTCTTATGTGGTTTACCACTTCAGGTCTCCGGGCTGGATGCCGGTCGCCTCTCACACCACAAATGAACAGTTAAGCTCACATAAATCACAGAATGCGCACTCTACCTACGAACTCACAACACTCCATAGCCCTCACTAACATTCGTAGTTTAAATCGAAACGTTACTTCTGTACATCACTTTCTACAATCTTCTTCTCCTTTGGCTTTATTTTTGACGGAGACACAAATCTCCCCGTCATCAGACATTAATCATCTTCAGTTCCCTAATTCCTCCCTCCATTCTTCTTTTCTTTCTAAAGCTGGTGTCTGCGCCTATATCCATCATTCTGTTACTTCTTCCCGAATTTCACACTTGGACTTTTCTAACCGTGAATTTCAGCTTACGTGGCTGAAACGTCGATTCCCTTCTTTCAACCACCACTGTTTACCGCTCCCCGAGCAGCAGTGATTCTTCTATTTTTGATATTCTGTCTACCAACATTGAAACACTAATTTCGGCAGATTCTAACAGCCAACTTAATATTGTCGGAGATTTCAATGTCCGCAATAAAGAATGGCTGAAGCACTCCTCAGACACTACGTTCATGGGACGCGAAGCCGAGGCTTTTGCTGTGGTCAATAACCTAAGTCAAATAGTTGATCTTCCAACACGCATCCCTGATCGTATTGGTGACCGTGCCCACACCCTTGACCTCATTCTCACATCCATTTCCTCTTCCTTCTCCAACATCATTTCCCTTTCCCCATTAGGCTCATAGGACTATCGTCTCATTTCTTTTCTCACTCATTTCTCTCACTCCATTTCACCAAAAAACTCCAGACGCACCTTTTGGCGTTACGATTCAGCCAATTGGGACGGTTTTCGTGACGTTCTGGCTTGTTATCCCTGGAAGGATTGTTGTTTTAAATCGGATGTTTCCAAGTCTGTTTCAAACTTCACGGAGATTGTTCTTCAAGGGATGTATCTTTATATTCCACACTTCTCCAAACCCGACAAATACAGATCCCCTGAGTGGTTTAATCACGCTTGTAACCGTGTTGTACGTTTTAAAAACTTAGCATTCCGTCGCTGGTGCCACTCACCCAATCCAGTATTCCGCAACCGCTTCGTGCAAGCCAGAAACAAATGCTCGGTCACCATTCAGAGCCAAATAATGCTTCATTTGTCACAAAGCTGCGCGCTTGGCTTCATCCGCCACCGGTAACCGAACATTATGGTCCCTCGCTAAAGCGGTTTCACGTAATTTCTGCCCTTCCAAGTTTCCTCCCATTTGAAATTCCTCTGATACTCTTGTTTGTGATCCCCACGAAAAAGCAGAGGTCTTTGCTTGCCGGTTTGCCTCCAACTCCGCCTTATCTGCGCCTCTACTGTTCAACCCTCCGCCTACATATCCAGTAACTCCTTTCTAACTATCATAACAACCAGAAAGGTCCGCCAAACTCTTCGCAGTGCGGGTGTTTGTAAACCACCCAGTCCGGACAGTTTTCCACCTGTCGTCCTTAAAATGTGTGCCCCGGAGTTAGCCCCTGATCTACGCCGCCTTTTCTGTTGTTCACTGGAACTTAGATCTTTTTCTATTCCATGGAAAAATGCCAGTATTTTTCCAATCCCAAAGCGCGGCGACCTTTGCAACCCCAACCACTACCATCCCATTACTCTTACATCTGTAATCTTGAAAGTGTTTGAAACCATCATCTCTGACCAACTGCGTACGTTTCCAGGACGCGAAGATTTGTCAAAGGATCGTCAGTACGTATTTCGCTCTTGTCGATCTACGGGTGACTTACTGGTGCTCTCATCACATTCCTGGTCGGCTGCACTCGATAACCACGGAAAAACTCATATGGTCTCGCTCGACATCTCAAAGACCTTCGACCGCATTTGACATGGTCTGCTATCGAAATTACCCACGTTCGGATTTCACCCGTCCCTGGTATCGTGGCTCCGTTGTTTCCTCAGCAAGCGAACCATCTCCGTCCGAGGAGATGGGGTCCTATCTCGGTCATTTCCTGTAAACCCAGTATTTCACAAGGTTCCATACTTTCTCCCACTCTCCTCTTATTTATCAACCATCTTTTATACCAAACGTCTAATCCTATCCACTGCTTTGCCGATGATGTCACTTTCCATTGTTCTCTCTCCTACCCCACAATCCGTCCAGCTAGTACCATCATCGATCACGTTCGTAATGTCATTAGTGCTTCCCTTGCCTCCGATCGCGGACTAATCTCCGCATGGGGTTCTACCAACCATGTGTGTTTCAATGCTTCCAAAACTTCTCTCCTCTCGGTCTCTCTTGTACATGTCTCCTTTTCTCCTCCATCGACTTTTTATTCTCAGCCCCTTCGTTTCACAAATTCTCTCTCCCTCCTGGGCTTATGCATAATTTCTTCTCTCTGTTGGTCCCCTTTTATCTCTACACTTGCCTCTCGCGCTGCGAGCAAAGTTGGTTTTCTATTCCGCGCAAGGGGTTTCTTTACACCCAAGTACCTTCTTTCACACAAAGCTCAAATCCGCCCAAAGCTTGAATACTGCAGTCACGTATGGGGTGGAGCTTCGTATTCTGTTCTTTCTCTCCTCGACCGGGTCCAACGTAAAGCCATCCGGCTGATCGACGAACCGCCTTTAACTTCCATCTTGCAGTCGCTTTCCCACTGCTGGGCAGTTACTTCGCTTTCTCTTTGCTAACCTTATTATGTTGGTTTTCAGCTCTTTCGAACTCGCTTCAGCGGTTTCCCTTTCATTGACCTTCTCTCTTCCATCTCATCCTCAGGCGACCAGTCACCCATATCAGGTTTCTGTCTCCAGATTTCGGACTTCCATCTTTCAATCTTCTTTTTTCCCGAGGACTACGAAATTGTGGAACACTCTTTTTTATTACACACTTTCGTGTGATGAACAGCAGACGGGGTGGAACCCCATAATCACGATGGAGACCGGTAACCTAAGTCCCGGAGTGGTAAACCACATAAGGCCCCGAGAGGTTGGGTGTGGTATTGAACCGGACGACAGCAGAGTTGCCTACCACCAAAGTCGGGTGGCGGTGGCGGTGGCGGGGCTCGAACCTCGGACCATGGGGTCTAAAGCACGCCGGTGACAGCGACTAAACCACTGCGCCACCATCACCCATTTTCGTGTTTACCAGCTGTTATAACCTTACCCTTTTCAAAAGCAGGATTAACAAATTGGTTCTTACTTGAACGTTCCCCACATACCTCCCCCTTACAGTATACCATTGATTATGGGGTTTACTTCTTTTTGCTGTAAATCACTTCATATGTGATAAAAGAAAATGATGCTTGTTTTTTTCATTTTGTACTTATTGCTGTTTTTTACTAGTGTGATGAACTGCAGACGGGGTAAACCCCATAGCCACGAGAACCTGCAACCTAAGCCCCGGGAACCACATAAGGCCCCGATAGGATATGCGTAGTATCAAACCGGGCGACAACAAAGCTATTTACCACCATAATTGGGTGGCGGTGGCGGGCTCGAAACTCGGACCATGGGGTCCAAATCACGCTGGTGACAGCGACTAAACCACTGCGACACTACCACCTCTTGGTCTTTCTAGTTTTGTTGATTAACCACATGCACACAACTCAATCCCTCTAAATGCGTAAACGTGCCATTTTCATTTGTCAAAGGGACCCATTGAGACAATTTTGTAGAATCCTGTCAGGTATACTCAACGATTTAAAGCTCATCTAGAAGTAGCAGAAAGCTATTTTCGTCCAGTCTAACCTATTAAGTATAGGTTTTGTTATTTAAGTCGCTGATTCGTGCATGTCTCAGGCGCCTCAAAAATAACGACTTGCATCAGCTACCAAACGAATCGCATACTAACACCAACATACCTGAGCACAAGGATAACGCCACAATGCAAAATCAGGAAGCACCGGTAAAACCTCTACAGCATGGACGTTTGGTTTGCTGTAGTGTTTAGTAATCGGCTTTCTTGCTGCCTTGAATGTTGCTTCAATTGCATTAATTTGACTTTCTCGATCGCGATAAACAATTTCTTCATTCAGATGACGTTTTACACTGTATCCCAACCTAAACCGAGAATAGAAATAAGTCCATTGGAGACCGACTTGGATTCCACTTTTTCAGATTTATTCCACCGGTTGTACAATTCCGTGGAAATGTATTCCGTACGTCTCAGCCAAGAAACCGACTTTTGATGTCTCGATTTTCTAGCATTTATTGCCGCGGGTGTATCATCCTCCAGTAGTCTCTCATCATCTGGATGCAACTTAACTGTACACAATGAAAATAGCACAACCTTAGCTACCTGATCGATCAACTTTAAATACATCAGGGTCTATCAGATCCACTTCAACACCAACATCGGTTTCTGTGAGTAGTTCGTGCTTGTAGTTTCGTTCTAACGATGTGGCAACATACTGTAGAAAACTAAAGAGCATAAAAAATTGCAGCAACATACCGAGACGGTTCCAACGGATATGACAAGAATTTCGGATCAAAGGGCAACTCTGGTAAGTGATTGTGATATTTTAAACGACATAAGAGTGACTCCGGTCTACTTCGGAAATCTCAATAAAACATGTTGCTAACCTTATTTCTTTGGCCCTCTCCTGTGTGTAGTCATCCGCTTTATCAGACCGCCCAACGCCTTGCGATAAAGTCATTTTCGTTGACAAATGTAATGGAACACCGAACGCAAGGTCAGGTCAGGTCAGGTCAGGTCAGGTCAGGTCAGGTCAGGTTGCACAGGACTGGTAGTGG